GACGCCATGCTTGTCTCCGTAGCCAGCGCTCCCCTGAGGGAGCAGCACAGATCCGGCCTCGCGGCTCCCGATGGCTCCTCGGGCTCCGCTCGCGGCGCAGGAATGACTCTCTCGCAGCGGGGCAACACCTCTCAGGCCACCGCCAGCTCAGCTGCCAACCACACCAACGGCCCGGGGTGAGTAACGAGCACTGTTGGTCAGCCTCTCGCCGTTTCCCCTGCTCCTGTCTGTTTCGGCGTTTCTCCTGACATCCGTACGCAGCTCCCTGGAGCAGTTTGTCCCCTTGGATCCCTGCGTCCAGCTCGTACAATTCTGACACCTGTGGTCCACCAAACTGTTCATTTCTCCCGCCGAGGTCCCTGAAATCGAAATCTGTGGCCTTTTAAAAAAAAAAAGCTTGCATGGATTTTCTCATCTTCTGTAACGCGCTTTGACAAGCCACCTTTAAAGGCGCTATATAAAATAAAGTTAATGATGATGTATTTGAAAATGGGCTTGACGGTGGAGGCCGTGCTCTTGACCAGAGGCTTGTGGGTTCAGAGCCCAGCTGAGGACACTGCTAGTATATGATTCCAGCACACCCAGCTGTGGAAATGGGTAACAGACACCATGTCTTTTCTAAAAGCATGAACCACATCGTCTCGCAAAATGTTTTTCGCTGGATTGTTTTTGCTTCAAAAGTTAGAAAAAGTGCCCGAAAAAGAAACGCCGGAGCTCCCGTTGGTTTGACAGCGTAGAATCCAGAAGTCAAAAGAAAGAGAAGTATTTTTTTTTTTCCTGGAGCGTGCAATCAGGAAGGGTTAGAAATATGAGAGCCGGGACGTTTTTTCAGGCTGTTGTACCCAGCAGAAGCACACGGTGGCGATCGTGCTGCTGCCAGCCAGGCTCTGCGCTTGCGCTTCCCGTAGGTCTGAGGGAGCCTGCGTGTCTTCCTGCAGGTCGATCGCGGGGGAGATGGATGAGCCAGACGCGTTGAGCAGAACCAAGGTCCCAGCCGACGACTCGGTTTCGCTGGCACCTTCCGCCGCAGAGTCCATCATTGTTGAAGGTAAGGCGGGGGCCGGCTGAACAGACACGCAGTCCCTGCAGGTCGGAGCGCGCAGGTGTGTGGCCGAGGAGGGGAAAGAGCGGGCATCGGCTTGAGCAGTGAGGGCTGATCTGGACTGGTACCGAGAACGTCCCACCTTCTTCTTCCTGCTGTCCACACTTTGAGATCCAGCCATTCTGTGTTGAAGAGCAGGGAGCTCACTGCTGCTTTTTTGTTGAAAGTAATGCCCTATCTCATTCCTGGGCTATTGGTTTATATTACAAAGTGTTTTGGAGTGAAATTAAAGCCCATTGCTTTTCAAGTTAAGGTAGAAGATCTTTTTAAGTAGGAATATATTCCTCATGCAGAATATGCCATTGATACCATTCTTATGTCTGTATAGTGTTTTTGTGACTCTTTGATTTAAGGTTGGAAAATGTTCTTAAGAATTTGGCCTGTCGAAATAAGATTATTGCAGGTTAGAAATGTGTAAGCCATTAGGTATTGCATTTTTAAAAGTGTTTATAATTGGCTCTGGTCATGCACAACCTCTGTACTAAAATGATCATGGATTATGCTTGGACTCTTAATGGAACCTGTGACAACTGTGAATTTTTTACTACTTGTTCACCCATATTGAGAACACCGTGAATGCAGTCTGTTATTGCAGAGGGCTGTTGTTGTGCAAATCAGTTTTTTTTATTTCATAGTACGAGAGTCCAGGTGCTTCATCTTCAGGACCTGTGTTTGTCGTCTTTGTGTAGATGGCCATTATGCTGCTTTACGTGCGGAGCTTGAGGTGGAGTCGCAGGACTTGGAAGCTGAATCCTGGAGCCTGGCTGTTGACCCACAGTACTTAAAGAAGCACAGCAAGGATGCAATCAAGAGACAAGATGTGATATACGGTATGTGAGCTGCAGAGTTTGGGGCAGAAAGAGCAATGGATAGAGTTGTGGGTTCAAATCCCAGGTGAGACACTGCTGTTGCACCTTTCAAGCTAGGTGCCTTACCTGAATTGCTCCAGTGAAATACCCAGCTGTATAAATTAGTGAAAATGTAAGTTGTTTTAAAAAAAAAAGAAGTCAGCCAAATAAGTGTCTCTTTCCTCTTTAGTGCCATTGTCTGCGCTGATATTTCTGATACATTGTATCAGTTAGAGTTTAGGGGAAACTGTGTTTGTTGTCAACTTCTCTTCTGTGATCCAGTTTGTCAGACCAACTATACTACAAAATTTGCACAGTATGAAATTTTCTTCTTTTAAGTAATTAAGAAAAGTTTGATTAATTGTAGCAAGACCTGAAAACAAGACATAAAACAACTAAAAAACCAAAAGCAAAGACCAACCAGCAATGCTGGCGTCTGCCTTGTTGAGATAAGAATAGAGTTGAAGTTGGGGAAAACTGTAATCGCAGGATGACTGGATGTGTAAAACAGGGATGTGTGCAAAGCTCAGTCTTTTTCAAAGCACTCAAGAAAGGGGCAGCAGATCCTGTGGAATCAGTCCATATCGCCTGTCCTATAGAAACAAATCCTCTCCATTATCATTGAGGAGATCATCTCAAAACGTTCTGATTAAAGACGTGTCTCAGGGCTGGATGTGCCAGCGTGAGTGGGGGGAGGTATTTCAGTGTCGCACCAGGCCTCACTGCACCCCTGTGTAAGATGAGCCTAATGGTTTGCTCTCGTTTGTATCTGCTCTTATGCACCTTAACCAAGGAGCTGTGGGGTTCTGCCCCCTGCTTACCTCTCTCACGTTTTCTCAGTACGTGTTAACGGCTCAAGTCTGACTGGCTTCAACAGCAAACCTCTCATACTGAAAAGGAAAACCAAAAGTGTGTGAATAGCAATGATAAAGATAGCGTGTGCTCTACAAGTTTATATATTAT